TAGTTATACATTCATTTTTAACTATAATAAATTATGTACACCTCTCAGATAATTTTGTATAAGTTTTATATACTGTAAATAATATTTGTAAATAAGACTTTTGTAATGACCTGTAATCCAGTTTCTACTGCAAGGGTTTTTTTAATAAACTATTACTATTACTAATTATGTTTACATGTCGTACTTTAGCAAGCTAAACTTGACAACCGCTGACACACTGACTTGTGGGCTCTGAATCGTTGACAGAACGTTCGAAGAATCAAAAATAGCGAAGTATCCTAGTTTTTTAAGCCGTTTAAAAATAGTTTATAGTCTTTCATAGTTGAGAAATCAGAAGTAAGTCAAGTGTGATGTATCCTACTATTAATTTCTACAGATTTATCTTAGTTACAGCACTTATTTATATATTGTCCTTTATATTATTCTTAGTTTTTACCGCGCTTGTGTATACGTGTGTTTTGCTAAATAAAGTCTAGTAAATGGAGTAGTCCGCACAGCACAGTAGTTAATACATGCTAACTTGGTGCATCAGCAACCTTCTCGTGGTGCATTGAGAACGCGACATCGTGTAACCATGACAATACTTCATATTTGGAATTCAGCAAGGCGAAACAGGTGGGAAATTTGTCGTCGCTGACCAAAAAATCGCGGGCAGAAACAAAGCTCATTGCGTTTACATTCAAAACAAAGCAGAAAGAAGCTGTTTTAGCTGGCGATTTTTTGCTTTCCATTCAACGATTTACAAATTAACGGTTATTCTTTTAAAAGTCGACTATGAATTCTTTGTTTTGTAATCGAGTGATTGGAAGAAGTTAATATGGCGACGTGAACATGGGAGTAAATACCTTATACGTCGATCTGTGGCTTGTTTAAAACCGTAATAAACGAAGAAAGACGTTACATGAGAATGAAATGTAAGTTAAAATTAACTTTATATGCCTCAAATTTTCCATCCTATGTTTCTTAATGTAACTTCAGCTGTCTAAGTTCAAAATACCAGCTCGCGAAATTGGCATGTACTAAAAGGCGAAACGTCGAAACGACCGAAACGAAACGGCCGAAACCATCGAAACCACCGAAACGACCGAAACGAAACGACCGAAACAAAACGACCGAAACGAAACGACCGAAACGAAACGGCCGAAACGAAACGACCGAAACGAAACGGCCGAAAATATAAATTACAGGAAAAATGGAAAATATTAAAATATGAAATTTACGGGAAATTTTATTGAAATTTTAAGACAATTGGGCTGTGGAAGCACTGGTTTATAGATTTTGGCGCCAAAAATTGGTGCCATTCTCACTTCTCAGTGGTGCCATTGTACAGACAATTCTACTGATGAAAGCAAATATGGAGACGAGGGAACTCGAGGAACAGGTACGCATTTAAACTTTTAATTAATACAGTAAATATCTATCCATATATAAAACTAGTATGCATACTGACGAGAATTTGGCATATTGAATTGCAAATACAACAGGCACAAGTTATGTTCACATGCTTTTATATCGTGCATGAAGCCATGAAAACTTGTTTAACCCTTGTTTCAGGTTGTCTAAGGCCAGGTTTAGACGTCGAACATTTCATGCGCCGAACCTAATCGGCTAATGTTAATGAGCTAAGTTCTTTGTTTCACTTCATTTGCATTACGGTTCGGCGCATGAAAAGTTCGACGTCTAAACCTGGCCTTAGACAACCTGAAACAAGGGTTAAACAAGTGTTCATGGCTTCATGCACGATATAAAAGCATGTGAACATAACTTGTGCCTGTTGTATTTGCACTTCAATATGCCAAATAATTCTCGTCTGTATATGCATACTAGTTTTATATATGGATAGATATTTACTGTATTAATTAAAACTTTAAATGCGTGCCTGTTTCTCGAGTTCCCTCGTCTCCATATTTGCTTTCATCAGTAGAATTGTCTTAGAACAATGGCGCCACTGAGAAGTGAGAATGGCGCCAATTTTTGGCGCCAAAATCTATAAACCAGTGCTTCCACAGCTCAATTGTCTTAAAATTTCAATAAAATTTCCCGTAAATTTCATATTTTAATTAATATTTTCCATTTTCCCTGTAATTTATATTTTCGGCCGTTTCGTTCCGGTCGTTTCGTTTCGGGCGTTTCGTTTCGGTCGTTTCGTTTCGGTCGTTTCGGTTGTTTCGTTTCGGTCGTTTCGTTTCGGTTGTTTCGGTGGTTTCGATGGTTTCGGCCGTTTCGTTTCGGTCGTTTCGTTTCGACGTTTCGCCGTTTAGTACATGCCCGCGAAATTTGACAAATTTTGAAAATATGTAAAAATAGCTTGACTTTGAACTGTATTTTCTCAAAAATAGCCCGTGGCCTCAATTTCAAATATAGCTAAATGAAAAGAAAAAACTTTTCGGCGTTTGTAGGTATCAAACAT